TCCCCCTTAAGCTTTGAGCTGATTTCACTCCAAGCATGTCCCTGAGTTAGTTGAACTTGTCCTCTGCCAAAGCCTTGGTGAATGTGTCTGCCATTTGTTCCTCAGTAGGACCATACACCAAATCAATGATTCCTTCCTGCAAAGCATCCTTGATAAAGTGATACCTTTGATCAATATGCTTAGTTTTCTGATGAAACACAAGATTTTTAATGATGGCAATTGCGGCTGTATTATCACACTGCAGTGGAGTTGCTCCAACTTGTAGTTCTCTAAAATCTTCCAAAACAAATCTAAGCCAAATTGCCTGAGCAGTAGCTTCAGAGGCACTAATGTATTCTGCCTTTTGAGTTGAGAGTGCTACACAATTTTGTTTGGCAAATGCCCAAGAGAACACTCCACTACCAAAAGAAAAGGCATGACCTGAAGTACTTTTGCTGTCATCAATTGATCCTCCCCAGTCACTGTCACAAAATCCAATTAAGACTGCATTCTTTTCTTTCACATACTCCAAACCATAATCTAGGGTTCCCTTTATGTACCTAAGTACTCTCTTAGCAGTTCCACAATGCTTGTTGGTGGGACAATGCATGAATCTAGCAAGTAAGCTAGCTGCATACATCACATCTGGCCTTGTAACAGTAACATACAGTCGACTGCCTACAATTTTTCTATATGTTCTTCATTTGCCGAACCACTGCCATCTTCCTTACTCAACTTATCAATGGCAACTAGAGGAGTTAGAAACAGATTTTGCAATCACTCAGTCCAAATTTATTCAACAAAGAAGTGTCATACTTCTTTTGATGAATGAAAATACTTAAGTTGGTTTGAATCACTCCCATTCTCAGAAAGTGATGAAGAAGACCCAAATCTATCATCTCATATTTCTTCTTCATATCCTCTTTGAATTCATCTAGCATTTCTTGATTGCTTCCAGTGTATACTATGTCATCCTTATAAATGGATACAATAAGTATATCATTTTCTCCCCTTGTCTTAGTATAGAGAGTTACTTCACTTTGACTCTTTTAAAATCCACATCGACCAAAGTACGTATCAATTTCACCATACCAGGCCCTTGGTGCCTGTTTCAACCCATAGAGAGCCTTGTATAGTCTATAAACCTTGTCTTTCTTGCCCCTTATCTCAAACGCTTCTGGTTGGTCTACTGATGCGAAAATTACTTGACACTCAAATTAAACCCTCGTTTGACAATTGTAGTAGAATGGATAAGTGAGGGATCGTTCTAGACCGGGGATTAGGAGGGCTTGCTAAAACCTTCTAAATTGACTTAAAAACATAAGAACACAATATAAAACACTATTTAATGCTCGAAGAAAGCAAAACTAAAAATAAGAAAGATTAAGACTAAGACTTCAACGAAATAGGGGGGAATTGGATTTGGACGAATTAAAACTAAAACGTAAAAAACAATATAAAACGTTAAACTAGACTCAAAGAATGTGAAACTAAACGTTAAAACACTAAGACAAACCAAAAGAATCAAAATGCTTTAAAAACACAAACTAAATTGATTTCTAACTATATTGAACATTAAAGCAAAAGGGGGATTGAGGTTTGATGAAAATTGAAATAACGAAACAAGTTAATAACTAGACAGAATGTAATTGATGAAATAAGATGGTTGGTGAATTAGCTAGAGGTTCTTTCTCCACACATGATATTTATGCATATGAATCAATTTCCAGTTATTCCTTCATTGAATTATGAACGACAATGCCCCAAATTAACCGTGACATCACTAGTTAACCCTCAGATTTTCCTTATATTATTGGATTGGATGGCATCATTCGACAACCCAAAACATTCTCAAAAGTTCCCTACATGTCATCATAATAGAGATACAATCGAAGATCATTAAGAATAATGAAAACCATAAGCATTGACAAAGCACTTGCAACTATGACATCATGTTACTCATGCTAAGAATTAAACTTAACGCGATCGTGACAAGCGACCTTCACTACTTTCAAGTATAAGTTAGTAACGATTATGTGAAACCTTCTTAAACTTTAGCCACATATTCATGCATGCTAATTAAGTGTCGACCCTCAATCAACAAACACAAATAAGTTAATCATCAAATAGTTAAGCCAATTGCATTCACGAATCAAGAGTTCATAACCGGAATTCATCAATTCATATTACATAAATAATCATGGTATTGAAATCACCCCTAGCCAAAAAGGGTTTAGTTCCTCATAACTTTGAAATCAAAGAAACACCTAAACATTCCAACAACTCAAACTTGAATTGTATGAACGTTTAGGCACTCTTCTCTTCCTCTTCTCATATTACAAAACAAAGAGAATTGAATTTAAACATTGAAATCAAAGAAACGCGTAAACATTCCAACAACTCAAACGTGAATTGTATGAACGTTTAGGCCCTCTTCTCTTCCTCTTCGTTGTAGCACAAGGACTAAGGGATGTTGTTGGTGTGTTGAATGGATTGGGGGATTATGGAAATGGAAGAAATGGAGGAGAAAGGGAAGGGAAGAAATGGAAGTGTTTGAGGGGTGTTGTGTTGTGAAATGAGATGAGATGTCCCTTTGTGTATGAATGCATGGGTTTTTATAGGGGGAATGGGAGAATATGTGGATGATTGTTTAAGAGTGAATGTGGTTGTTATGATGAAGAGTGAATAAATAATGCATGTAGGGTTAGGAAATAAAATCATAAATTAAAGGGGGGATGATTAAAGGGTGTGGCTAGGTTGGAAAGGTGTGGAAGATGGATGGAATCATGGGTAGTGTTGTTTGATTTGTTTTGTGGTTAATGGGAATGTGGTTGAATGATTAAATGGACATGTGGGGTGTAATTGCAAAGGGAATGCAAAGTGAATGAATAATGAATGCATGTGAGTTAAAGAGGGAGAATGTGGTGAAATGATGAAGTGGGAAGGTGGAAATGCATGTGAGATGTTGGAAAGGAAATGGGAATATGAGTAGGCCATGGCATAGGAGTTGTTTTGTTGGTGTAAATGTGCCATGGTTGCAATGATGAAGAATAAAGGGTGCATGTGGGGTGGAATTGAATGAATGCAAAGTGAATGAATAATGAAATGAGTTAAAGAGGGAGAATGTGGTGAAATGATGAAGTAGGAAGGTGGAAATGCATGTGACTTGTTTGTGGAATAAAGAATGAATGGTGGAATGATGAAGAGTTGCATAAAGAATGCATGTAGGGTTAGCTAGGTTGGCTTTGTTTGGGTGCATGTGTGTTAATGGTGGTTTTGCATGTGAATTGATGGATTGTTTTTGATGGAATGGATGGTTCTTTGCATGGCTTTTGAAGTGATTGTGGGCTTTGGAATTGGAAGGAAATGCATGGCCTTGGGGTTGGTTTAAGAGAGAATGGGCTAGGCCCTTTGTTTTATGTCCAAAATGAATACAAGGCCTTCAAATTCGTCCAACACTTTGGCTCCAATCATATGCTATCCATTCCAAGCCCAATTTTGCTCCAAAATGCTCCAAAATGCATCTTTTTGCTTCCTTAGCCATATGAACCTAAAAACACACGAAAATGACTTAAACTACTAAAACAACTATGAATTAACAACATAGATGCACGAAAACAAGCTAAGTAAGTCGCCTAAATATGCTCCTATCATCTACATAGACCTCTTCCTACAATTTTCCATTAAGAAAAGCTGATTTCACATCAAGTTGGTACAAGTTTTGACGTCTTTGAGCAGCCAAGGTAATTAAAGTTCTGATTGTGTCCAGTCTAGCTACTGGAGCAAATGTCCCATTATAATCAATTCCAGGTTTCTAAGCATAACCCTTGGCAACTAATCTTGCCTTATTCTTTTGTACTGAGCCATCCAAATTTAGTTTTGTTTTGAACAACCATTTCACTCCAATGATTGGCTTATCCACCAGTTCCCAAGTTCCATATTTCTTAATCATTGACAGTTCATCTTCCATTGCTTTTATCCAAGCCTTGTCTTGTGCAGCTTCTTCATACTTCTCTCTCTAAAATGAAGAAATGAAGAACAATTACTGAAGAAAATGAGAGAAGGATGGATGCTTCTCTCTCTGCAAATCACAGAGGAATGTTCTTCATCTGATTCTCTCAGCACACACTACTCGTGCACTGTATAACGGTTAGTTAAACAGCTGGGATCCTTTACACATCAAAGTGATCCCAGCCACTCAACTAGCTATATTGTAGGATTCTTACACACGGAAATTTCAGCCTTACATCATGAGCCTTACACTTGGTAGTTTTAACTCAAGTGAATACACCTTTAAATAACAAAGCTTATTCTTTCTAATTCTAATCAACTCAGAGCTTACAATTCAACAAATACAAGTCAACGATTGTTTATTCTAGCAGTTTGTCTCAGCGTGTTCTCATCATTGGCAGTTATTGTGAGTGCTTTTCAGCTGGAGTTTATTGTCTGGATTCTTATGCATGTCAAAACTGCTATAACAAGCCTGAGTTTGAGCACACAGTTTTTGAGATTCATCATCACATTGAATCTCGTAATCCACTTGCATTTACTTCAAAAGTTGTTGACAATGCCATTGATTCTTCGGCCAACTCTACAGTAATCCATGTCATACTATGGGTTGTTCTTTTGTGTTGTTCATTTGGAAGAATTATGAGCATGAGAACTGTCCACAGGAAGACCAGAACTTGACGACCCCATCCTCAGCCGGGCACAAGAGAGGTTGCAATTGCAAGAAGTCAGTGTCCCGAAAAATATTGTGAACGGTACCAGGTTTATATGTACATTTTTACCCTTCACTTCAGTGTATCTCCTGCTTCTGAAACATGGTGTTTCTCCGAGTTCATTGAACTAGATTTGGACAAGGAACTTGGTCAGTGTTTATACGCTCTTAACCTACCCTGATGTGATTTATTATTTTTTTTCTCCTTTTTTGTTCCGGAAGGCTAAAGTTGGCTGTTTTGGAGGATGTCGATGTGAGGATTGCCAAAATACATTTGGCACTATGGCAGGTCAGATTTTGTTTGATATGATATACCTCACTTTTTTGGTCTTCACTCGTTCTTTTTTGTATACGAGTGTGCGACTATTGTGTTTCAGCAGCAAAGACAATGAAACAATAAAGATTTAAGATGGTTTTGTTCTGTTAATCCTTCACTGATTACTTTTCCATGATCCTACAATTGCAGAGTCAGTATATAACGGAGCTAAAAGGTGGGAACCCTACCCTACTGCGAAGCTGGCTGCGAGCATCAATCAAACTCTCCGACATGTGAAGTACTTTCTGATGTAAGCAAATCTTACACCATTGATATATCCTACCTCACGTCCAGCGATTTCTTCAGCTTCATCAAGTAGAAGAAACTCTGGAAAAATTCCACAAGCGCAACTGCCATCAAGTAAGCATCCATCAGATACTGGACGCTTGAACTGGGGTTGTTCACCCGTCATTGCCTCCCAGTAGTTACCTCAAGGTAACGTTCCCTGTGTACTGAGTTCTGCTGGTGCACATCATGACATGACGGATGATGATACACCTGAGATACTCGGGGAAACTTCTTACCCTTCCAAGGTTGTAAAGGTTAGCTCACCAAACAAGAGACGTGTCTCACCTCCACAATCCCGATCCAGGTTAAGGTCAAGCTCTCCTACAGGCTTGACAAGTGGCCGCAAATTCATTTTGCACGCTGTGCCTTCTTTCCCTCCTCTTACCCCGTACCACACTTCTAAAGAAGGCACCAGTGAAATTGGGAATGATGATGGAGCTACCAACAAGAACAATTGGTACGAGGCCCGATTCGGACGATTTTCAGAGCTGGTTATGGACAATCTGCTTACAGCTTACAGCATTGTCCAGAATAATTGGACAAAGCTACTGATCGGCTTCCAACTTCCACAAATTCGTCCAAAGACTACCTCTGTATTGCCAGAAGTTTGGTCAGCCTTGTTCTAAAAGGCAGAGCTATTTCTTGATGCCATTGCAAAGCTCGGTCATATCGTTGTATCAAAAAACAAGCAGTGATTACTTGAGTGCAAACTTGCAATTACTCTGTTGCTGCAATCTGCTTTCACTATTATGATGAACTCGCATGCCCCTCTTGCAATATCGTTCTATCAAAATACAAAAAATAAAAGTACGAACTCGTAAAATAATAATAATAATAATACATTAATGAATACCAAAACAAAGTACATCCAAAATTCAGTCCCTACACTACTACTGCCTCCAAGTGCTATACAAATAGCACACCCAAAACTTTATTTGTAGGAAAGAACAGAACACAAATGGGAATTAGAAAGGTCAATCTAGCTGCTATACCCATATACTCCATGCCCCATTTTGTATAACGCCTACTTGTACATGTGCGTTTCTCATTCGTTATTGTTAGATACATACTACTTCCTCATTAGCTCCAGGCGGAAACTGTCAGATTTATTAGCGATACCCATCAAGCCCCAGCCATGCAGAAAGCCAACTGGAGACCTCATTCATCTCTTTAGGGATAGTGTAGTGGCCGAGCCTGCAATGTTAAACGAAATACTCAGAAAATCTGCTTAAACCTCGTAAGGGTTTGAACGAGATATGTTATTTGAGTATGTTTTTCTTATGGAAATGAATCTTTACTCTTCAAATGGTTTGAACGAAAGGTATTGGAATCCTGCTGAAGTCAAGCATTGGACTGATTTCTCTCCATATTTGTAGGGTACTTGACCATCACCTACAAAAAATGTGTGATCAATTTCGCATACTGATTGTCAATCTACAATGCAGCATACTGGCTTCTGGCGTGTGACATATATCAAGTGACCTAGAAACCGTTCAAATAAATGCAAACTGCAGTATTGGCAAAAAAAGTTCTATGGAGACATACTGTTTCCATGGCATTGCAAAATGGGTAATGATGCGGCACGCCTCAAAGCCTCATGTGAACCTTCAATTTTGTTCCGTAAGCTCCTGCACAAGGTTGCAAACCTGTTAAGTATCGGACAGGGGAGTCTTTTGGTATTGATACTCGGATCAACAGGTACAAAGTCATACCTTGCTCCTGGAAGCCAGCCGCTTAGTCCAACAACTGCCCTCAGATTGAGAGGGTATGGGTTGCCATTTCCGTACCTACCCGCAGCATAGCAAGTTGCAGAGTAAAGGGCCATTGCAGCACCCATGCTAAAGCCTCCAATACCGACTTTAACTGCCACAAGAAAACGTGATATACATTTCAAACATTCAGAAATGAAAACAACCTGCATAAATTCGGAATAATTTCTTGAAAACTTGTGCAGGTTTTAACGACGATGATTTGTAAGAAACGGAGGAAAAAGAATCCCAGGAAGTTATTAATTTTAAAGTAGTTTAGAACTGAACGTACCATCAGCTGGCTCAGTTGACAACAAGTTTGCAATATGCGCTGCTGAAGCATCCAAATTCTCCCAATCATCTGGACCATCATCCGAAAGCTCTCCCATTTCAAACCCTGAAAAAAATCGAATAATTCAGAAGATTATTATCAATATCAAAGAACCACCAGATATTGAATTTCATCTGAAGAAATTTAGTTTTTTTTTTTTTTTTTTTTTTTTTCTTTGGTTATGCCCCATGAGAGTATGAAGTGCAAAGTAAACTAGTTCTTCATCTAACCGAAATATAATCTTACATGCAGTGCAAGGAAATCCGCCGAGTACAGCCACAGGACGGGTAGGAGCAGTTGGGCAGATCCACTTAATCTGTTTCATATATTACCAAAGGTAATTAACACACAGGTTGAACAAAGTAGCTATAGATATAAGCGTGTGAGAACAGAAATGCAAATTCTTAAGCTTACAAAATAGTTGGAGGGACACATATGCTTACATTTGGAAGTGGTAGAGATTCCAACATTTGAGATGTGCTGCAGAGAGAAGGAGCATAACATGAGACATATAACTCTTACATTATTCATCATGCGGAAAATTCAACGGCTAAAAATAAAATTGAAACATGACAGCATACTAGTTGAGAAAGCATCAACACAAGCAACGAAAGCACAAGTGCGGTAAAAAGTCCAGAATTGTATCGAGGATAAAAGGAACGGAACCAGTTCATGTGTTGATCAAGCAAGAATAATCAATACTAAGAAAGCATATCAGTAAACAAATTAAGTGTATTTCTGGTTCCCCACTTGGAGAACAAAGTAAACTAGCGGCCCCCCAGTCATGACTTTGGCATATACTATTTCCAAATCAAGGCTTCCCAAATTAAGTTTGCCGTCGATCAGATTAGAAGTGAAAGGGACATCTATCATATCATATAATCTCACGGTGCTACTGCTCTCTTAATCGAATTTATTCGATTAAGAACCTCGCTGAAAAAATGCTGAAAAGATGTATAATGGAGCCCTCCTTTTTCAAGTTATGGAGTATGTACAGGCGTTGACATTTCCTGAAACACGATTCCTTTTTCTCATATACGAAAAAACCAAAAAGTTCATCCTTCCGGTAAAGGACGTGTACTTGATACAAAAGGGAAGGAATGAAGAATTATATTGACTGGTGATGATAAGTCAGGTTATAAACACCAAATTTAGAAAAAGAACTGTCTTACGATAAAGTTAATAGGAAATAGAGAAGGTTGTAGTTTGGCGGTGTAATGGAAAAGCACACTTGATACTCAAATTCGATCATGAACTTAACTATTTAACTGAGGATTACTACTGTAAACAGCTGAGTAGGAAACTTATATGGTATTCATGTTGTCTTCTCTATGCGCCACAACATTAGTTGGAAGAACTTCTCTATGTGCCACAACATTGGATAGAGTATGACTTCAAGAGAAGGCCTTTCAGATACAGAACCGCAACAACGTATGGTATATCGCTCACAAACAGAGCAAAGGAATAGAAAGGGACAGAGAAACAGTACCTTGAGCCGTTATCTCCAAGTCCATGCAGCCAGACCATTGTTGCTTGATGCCTTCCTTTGGGCCTCACCACATGTGTCCTACCAAACTCAATTCTCTTAGCAGTTCTGCTACCTGAAATTTTCGTCAACAAAAAGTGGCTACTCAGCAACTATACAGGTTTAAGCTGCCACAATTCTCTTTTTTTCTAGGATATCGACCAAGAAAATCACCGTTCGTTGCAGTAGGAGAAATCAATAATAAGAACACAAAACTTAGACAGCAAAAACCGGAAATTGAGTTGCCTAACAATTGAATGAAATATAGTAAAGATATATAGACTTGAACAAATTTAGACAATGAAAGGTGCTAATGCTATATATGATGGGAAGAAACCAACCAGAAGACATGTTAGAATGCGCATAGCTCATCTTTGTATGTTTTTCGGGTAAGCTGCTGCGCTCAACAAGCCGCTCTATTGCAACGAGCTAGAAGAAGGCACTGCAATGTAGAAAACCCGGAATGAGAATGTGTATTTATAGGCAAATGAGGTCGGGGGGAAGAGTGAGAAAAATGGAATAAAACACGTGTGAATATGCATCATTCGTCACTATTAAGATCAGTGTGCAATGCATACCAGCTACGCCAAAACCGCCTCGAAACTCAAAAGGAGAGAAAGCAAAGCATCAATGAAAATGAGAGGTAAAGAAAGGGACAAAAGTAGGAGGATAGCAGAGAGAATCCATGCCAGAGTTGAGCACATTCATCCATTCATTAGAGAGAGAGAGCTCTTGCAACATAGACAGACAGACAGACAACATCTAGAGAGAGAGAGAGAGAGAGAGAGAGAGAGGAATCTATGCTTGTGGGTAGCGGCCAGAAATAAAGCAAAAACCCAACAGCAACACCAAAAACTGAATAGAATATTGCTGAAAACAAGAAAGAATAACCTTAGTTTGTGAAAGAAAAATATCTTTTTATTTCCAATCATTAGTTAATGAATTTTTCATGATTGATGGATACCCATTAACCACTATTAAAGTTTTTCAAGTATTACAATTTCTTTTTTCTGGTTTACGTTCTAATGCTCATTTTCTAAACATGATATTAACAAGTGAAAAGAAGCAAGAAATCGTAAGAACGAAGAACTGGCTTCCATCCAGCCTCCAGCTTTCTCAATCTATCACTTGTACCTTTTTTCTTCTTATAAATCTTATTGAATTTCTGATTGTATATACAATACTGCTACCGGGACATATATGTGTGTGTGTGTGTATAAAATAATAATAAACAATAATACAATAATAACTTATATTTCCAAAAAGATTTGTGCATAAATCACCAACCTGGATTTGTTATATGGAAGAGACAAAGGGAAAAGTATGGGAACTTTTTTCTCTCCTTCCATCACCTTTGCCAAATGCCAACTTTCTTACTTTCCACTCCGAACCCCCACCTTTTAAAAGTTTTCTCTGTTCACATTCATTACAGACGCCAACCAAAATCACTAGAATTTTTTTAGCGGTGACATGACGTTTCATTTTCATAATTTTATTATCAAACGATATTACTATTAAGCTAACTCTTAAATGATGAGTTTGCATATCATAAGTGAGATGTTTTAAGTTTAAATATCGTAAATAACGAATTTGACATCAATTTATTATTCCTTCTTCTTAGTATAACTATATCATTTGTAAAAAAAAAAGAAAAAGAGTGGGTCTGAAAGATGTAATGAGTTAAAAGAGAAAATTTTTAGCTAACATGGCAACCACCACTTGCATCCCATGATGTTTTTAATCTACATATTATAATATGAGTGAACATAATGTCATAGACTTAAAAGTAGTGGTAATTAATAACACACATGTTTATGTGTGGATTAATTTGTAATACCAGATTGAAGTGGAGAAAACTTACTCGTCCCAAAAAATATGTCCAGAAGCATAATTACAAATGAATAATCACATATATCATTTCGGTATCATTTCTGAAGTCGATCTAAGCACCTCTAAGGGACTGGCTAAACTCACATTATATTGCTTTACGTATTCTAACCTAAAACCACTAAAACTTTAGAGACTAGTTATGTTTAATCTTAAAACACCTATGCGAATAGTTGCCAACTATATTTAGCTTATAAAAAATTAAACTTTTTTTTTGTTGTCAAATTGC